CTGAAGATGTTGGGACTGTAACCTGGGGATCTTCTGACTGCCAAACAGGCTCTTATACTATCAAACTCTAATTCCTCCCTGACTTTTCCTATATCATCCCAGTGTTAACTATTCCAGTTAGTAAGAAGGTGTCCAGCTCAGGTCATGTCCCTACTGTGACTGCTTTAACAGGAGATGCTAAAGCTGGACTTCTACATCCAAACGATACAACCTGGCCATGTTGGGCTATGGATCTTCACCAAAGCCGTTCTGTTAGGGGTCGTTACCCAATGTTATCTCATAGTCCAGTAGAGCTTTTTGAAATAGCACAAAATAATTGTTACTCCTTTGCATAATTCATCCTGCCATTGTTACCATTCACATATAACTTGCATGTGATGCCCCAGAACTGAATGCACAACATGCCTGAATAATAATAATAACAACAACAATAATATTACAGTTCATGTATTGAAGACAGTAACATATATGACATGGCTAAGGAGTATAACATTCCCCCTGATATTTTTCTGGTCCCCGCCCTGGTTGTGTTTAAAAAAGCCCTTAAAACTTGGCTCTTCCCCCAGGCCTTGGGTCATATTGGATGGTGGATCCTGTGAGTTGTGTTACTTTTTAGAATGAATGGTTCTTCTTTCTCCAGATGCCTGTGATTTTACTTGCATTGGTTAATAATGTTCTTATTACTGAACTCCACACAGAGTCACTACAGCATTGGGTGGCCTTATAAATTTAATATATTAATTAAACAAATACCTGCTTTAAAACATGGGATTTTGGCAGTTTTATTCGTATGTAGACAGAGGCTGTTGGAATTGTTCTCAAAAGGCAGAAGGGCCAGACCCGCATCGGTGAAGTTCTGGTTGATTGCCATGAGACCAAGCGAGTTGCTTTGGTTCCGCAAACTCCTTGCTAAAGGCTCTTCACTCCCGTACACCGCGCTGGCATCCAGGAACGAGGTGATTGAATTGAGCTGTTCGCGGACAAACGTTTTGGGGTTGCACACTGCGGCTGTCCGAACGAATGGCATGCAAATGCCCGGAGTCACAATCCGTGAATCTCCAGGGGGGATCTGTACAAAAGAGTCACTGAATCAGAACTTCCACATGTCTCTGACCCCAGTCTAACTAGCCTCATACCTGAACTCTTCAGCAGGATTTGGCAACTTTTTCAGGCTTTGGCACTCAAAAATAGACATAAACATTATTTTTAAATACTTTGATTTTTAAGTTAATTTTAATAAATAATTTTTAAAATGGTTTTTAAATGAATTTTAAATTTCATGACATTATCTAATAAGTCTAATAAGAGTCCAGCAGGTCGGTGAAAGAGGTTGTATTTCACAACCTGCAAACTTAGTTTTTTAGCATAGTTTGTCAACCAACCTATTTGATTTACTCATAGTCAATGAACTGCAGGCATCCAGAAAACAGATTAATTCAGTAAGCAAGTGAAATGTGTTGTGTAAGCCCAGTTTCATCAGAAATACATAGCAGGAAGTCTACTGTAGAATTAGGCTTCATTATCACCCTTTTCCCTTGACCTTACAAAGGAGCCAAACAAGCCACCTGCATTTTAAATTCTATTTTAAAGAGACATTATTTATTTAAATGTTCACTATTTTATCAAAACCAGGAAGGAAGTATCCTCACAAGGAGGATCGCACAAAGATAAAACTGATCTGTGGACACACAATGGTATGTGTGTTTTTTCTCCCAATGCAGAATTTCTATTACCTTAATTGGAAAGCAAGGAGGTACATAGTTGCAACTAGTATCACACTCGACCTTCTTATTCTCAATGTTGGTTGGGCTCTCATGAGCTAAGTCCAAGTCATGGTCAATCCACTGCCCCCAGTGCATGAATGCAAGAGAGCGTTCCTGATCAGCCGTGACATTCTCATTGGAAGTAGTGATGATCTCATTGGATACTTTCCGTACCTGCAAGGAAACACCCAAAAACCATCGAAATGGTTTCCGTACCTGCGAGGAAACCATAGCAACAACCCCCCCCCCCAACCAGGAAACTGGTTTGCCTAGCCTAGTACAAGCCACTGCAGTCTTCTACAACCTAATACTTTCCACATGTGTGTGATTTCATCTTCTTGCAGCCACCAGTCTAGGACAAGCTGGCTAGAATTACAGAAGTTGAAGTCAAATACTTCTAGTGAGCATCAGGTAAACTAATTCTAATCTGGTCTGGCTTGCAATTCCTCTTTTTCCCAAGTGTTCTTTGCTTGGAGTCCGGGTTCTCTCCAAAGGGGATTAAAACTATAGCATCACCACTGGAAATAACAAGGCAGAGGATCACAGAGTCACCAAAATGCATCATCAGATAATCTGCTCTGATTGGCAGTAGCTTTACACCATCTGAAGCAGAACTCTTTCCCAGCTCATCCTAATTGAGGCTCTATTCCTCCACTGGCACCTAACCTCAGCATAAACGTGCCCCAGCACCTTTTTTTTTTTTCTGCTGGGTCCTCATAAAGTTCTCCTTCCCAATCCATCCTCTAAGCAAAGAATGCAACTTTATGGCAACTGGGGGTATGATCTGACCCACGTCATCAACCATTTTACTGGTGGTGCTGTCAGATGATCTTGGGATGGGTGAGAGGATGAATTGGGCCAGTTCCTACTGGCCACTTAGACTGGCGTGGGTGTTTCTCTACCAGGGTCATCTCATCCTATGCAAATATCCCATGATGGTTTAACCGCTGTCCCCTGACCATTCTCTGACTATTGCTAATTTGTAAGAATTAGCAGGTGGAGTTCCCATGCTATTACCAGAGGGAGAGGATGTCCATGATAAAGTTGCCCCTCAATCAGTCCTCTTGGAAGGGATATGCCATCTTCATACTCTGCTGGAAGCCAACGTGCATAGGCATGATTTGCTACTCCAAAATGTGGGTGTTCCCTAGAATGGAAAAGTAATTTAATGCATGGAAGGTCTTTTATGGATGTCCCCATCACTGAATCAAATATACTGGAACAATTCCTAAACAAAAATGACTAAATTCCCTCCCTGAAGATTGGTGTTTAGCTAACCATCAGGTGTTGTGCTTCTCTGAATGTTGAACAAAATGAAACCCATGTGTAAACATCTGTTTTGAGAAACGATCACTGATTAAATATGCATTTTGAAAGCCTGCTTTTAAAAAATCCCTCAAGATTAATGGTGAAATGAAATAAAGCAGAAAACAAAACGATACAGGCTAGAAGCAAACAATTCCACCCAGTCCTTCTGGGTACTGCCATTAACACTGATGCCCTAATTGTGCCTGATATTTGTAAAAGAATCCAATGAAAATTGGATTTCTTTTATCCCATAGAACTCTTAAAGTTGTTTACTTTTCAGCTGAATGGTTCAGCACACACAGATGCTTTAAAGCCAGTCAGACCATGCTTCCATCTAGGTGGGTTACTCATAGCTAGTCTGTAGCTGGCCAGCATTCCCATCAGTGGCTCCAGGAATCCACAGAGTGGACACAGATCCTTGATCTGCTTTTCTCTGGAGAAGTAGAGAAGTGGCAAAAGGGATGTTTTGCACCTTGCAGAGGATTAGGGTTCTCTCTGCACCCCTCAAAATCCCCTCAATCAGCTTTTCCCCATTTTAGAGGGCTTTTAAGGTGCAGAAGAGGTGCCCTGAAAGGCTCGGGACCCCAGTTTTCCTCCTTTAACATCTCCAAAATACACACGTCTTGCACAGAAAATAAGAGCCTAAACATTTCAGCTCCACCTATTCTGACTCCACAAAATCACCATATCCTAAAGAGTCATGCCTTAAGCAGTCTTTTAGCGGGTGTTGCGTACCTGTTGTTGCATTCACCAGTGATGGTGCGGTAAGGACTGTTCAGCACACACCGAATTGGCCGCGTCACATAGTTACAACCAGTTACCTTGAAGAGTATGTCTTTCTGCTGGCTGCTTAATACATCTAAATAGGAAAAATCAATCAGGAATCCAGGATTTAATTTAATGTTAATTAATGTTAATTTAATTGCTAATTATCAATACATTAAAATTAAAAGTCAAGGATAGTAGTCAATTGCTACTGGGGGTGGCCGGCGCCTTGATGACACCCCCACAAGCTACTTGCCAAGTTAACATCTATTCTTGGATTATATTTATTTTCTATTTATTCAGGACCATTTTACATTGTATTTTAAATCAATTTTAACTTCTTCGTAAACTGCCCAGAGCTGTTTTTTAACGAGATGTGTGGTGACAAATTTGATAAATAAATAAATAAAAATAAATTGCTTTCCTTCTGGAAATAAGAAATTATTACTTTTTCTTTACTTACTAGATGTATTGTTACTGATTAGATTGTATTGTATTGCCTCTGTAGATACCTGTGATCAGAGGTACCTACAGAGGCAATACAAAAAGTCAAGATGGTGGCCATGACCACATGATCACAGGCCTATCCCATTTTATGTGTGGGGGGGGTTGTTTGACCACATGACTGCCATCTTGACTTTGGGGACACCCCCCCCCCCCCCCC